CTCATAAAAATATGTACTTTTTTATCGAAAGATTGAAGGAAAAATGAAATTAAAGGAAAATTTAAGCGCGAAACTTGAATCTACGGAAGAACGAATTAAAATGATGAAAAAACGTATTAGTAACTTACTGGCAGAACATGATATAAATCAAAAACTTTTAAATACTCATTCGGCACAACTCAAAACTGAAGATCATCATTATCGATTGAGTCGTAATACTGAATCGAGCCTGCAACAAGAGGCGCGAAATTTTCAAAAAGAATGGAAAGAAGTAAATGAAACAGTATCAAATATTGAACGAGAATTGGAGAAAATGGCAAAAAAAATAGAGACATCGAAAAATGTTCTTAAATATGATGAAAAGAGTATAAAAGAATGGGAAGATATATTAAATCAAAATGAAGATAATAATCAATTGATAGAACAATATATGAAAGAAGATTTAAAAGAATACAAGGTAAAAGGGAAGCAAAATAAATTAAAAGAGAAGTGCATTATTGTAATTAAACGATTTCTTTTTTATCTATTTCGTATTTTTGTAACTTAGGAACTGGAATTAAAGAGACAGAAGCTTAGCAAAGAATTACAGACATATCGCGATGCAATTGTTAAATCAACTAACGAAACGCAAGAGTTGGAAATTATTCTTAATCGAACATCTACATTGTATAATCAAGCATTAACTGAATATCGACAGATGTTTAATCAGTGGAAAGAAAGTGTAACTATGTTACAACAAAGAAATGATGACATCAAAAAAATTATTCAAGTATGACTAAATATTAAATCATTTTTTTACATCCAACTTTACTATCAATAAGTATATATAACATTTACTTTAAACATAATGGACATACATTTTTATTCTTTGTTAATTCTTAATAAACTCTCTTTTGCATAGGAAATTGAAACAATGCATGAAATTTCAAAAGATAAAAAAAATACACTTCAAGAATCAGAAAAGTTTTTAAGGGATCATATTGAAAATAATAAAGAGGTTCAAGATTCAATTAAGAAATTAGAAAAAGATCTTTCTAAACTGAAAGAAGATCAATGTAAAATGAAAGAAATAATTAGTACATATGAGAATCAGGTACAAACATAAATGGAAGAATATGATTAGAAAAAATACTTTTAAAGTTATTTTCCTTAAAATTTTGTTTTCCTATAATTTCAGCTTGCAATACAAAAAAATATTATGAAAGAATTGACACAACATATGCAACAAGTAAGAGCTGATATAAAACATAAAGAATCACAAATTCAAATTAAATATACAAAAATAGAGAAACTAAATAAACAAATAACTGATTTGACTGCAAAATTGCAAGATATTGACAACCAAAAAGTGGATATTGAAGAGAAGGCAAAGGAACTAGAGAATATGACAGAGGTATTTATTAATAAATAACAATTATTAAGAAACTTAAAATAATGTTTTAAAATAATATAGGAACAAGAAAAGAAAAAGGCTAAAATGACAAAAGAAATGAATCGATTACAAACAGCAAATTTACATGCAGTGAATCAAATAAAAAATTTAGAGAATGAGAATAAAATTCTGAAAATGCAGTATCAAAAGGAGTGTAAGAAATCTGAATACTTGGACAAATTATATGTCAAAGATGGACAAATTTTTGAAGAAAAGAAAGAAATATGGTACCAAGTACAATTTGAAGTTCAGAAGTCTGAGATGAAATTGGAGAGATTAAGGGGTCATGAGCATGATAAGTCTGAAGCTGAAAGAAAACAAAATAAAATTGAAGAGCTTCAAAATAATTTAGATGAAAAGATGAAAGTATCTAAGTTATTGCAGAAACAAATTGCAAGTTTAGAAGTATGTCACTAAAAAATAAATTATTTATTAATTTATTAAAATATATATTGTTTACATTCTCTTTATTGTACAGGATGATATGAGAAAAATGTCAAATAATCTAGCAAGTGGCAACAATGAATTAGAGTATTTAAAAAATAAAAGGCAAGACCTTGTTCTCCTTATGAATGCAGGAGAAAAACAACTAAAATCTGCTCAAAATTGTTATGAGGAGAAACAAGTTGAAGAAAGCATGTTACGACTTAAAGTATCACAAATGAAGAAAATGATATCCAATATTGGAGATAATGTTTATGATTTGGAAAGATATAAACTTGAATTGGAAGCTGTAAGTCTTTTGCAAAATAATTAAAATATCTTACAATGATCATTAAAATATCAAACAGTTTTTAGTTTATTATATTAAAAATATTTTAATTATTTAGGCAATGCAAGAACGAAAAGCAGAAATTGCAGTACAAAAGGAATCTCTAATTATTCAAAAAAGAGTTGCTGATAATGAATGTTCAGAGTTAAAAAATGCTATTGCTGAGAGAAAAATGCGAATAAAGCAATTGCAAGCAAGGTACCATAATTTCACAGCATTGTTAGGTACCAATCCTGATGGTACACCTGTCAATACAACACATCTTAAGCTTCAAAGTGCACAAGAAAGATACCTTTTACAAGAACATGGAGATAAATTAGACGAAGCAATTAGAAAAACTGAACATGATATACAAGCAATGGAAAACACATTAAAAGTAATAAATGTTTGTAATGATAAATATAAAGTAACTTTGACTGCAAATGATAAAAATAAACCAGAAACAGAAGAGCATAAAAAACTGCATGAGGAATTACAAGATGCTGAACAAAATTTAAAGGAAAAAAAGAAAGAACTACAATCCTTAACTGGAAGCATGCAGGTATTATATAGTAATATTGCACATAATTTAAACAAACAGAAAGTATATTAAATTAAAAAATAAAATGGCTTTAACAGAAAACACAAAATGACTATATGCAACTCCTTAAAGATATAGATGAAACTCAAGAATGTAAGGAAAATAAAAATCAATATTTAATTGATTTAAAACAACAAATTCATGAGCAAAAAGAAAAAATATCAAGAGCTGATAAAAGTTTACAGAATGTTAAAAAAAGCATTCATCGAATGGTTGAAATCACAGGAGACAAAACTGTATTTATACAAGAGGTTTGCAAATTATCTAGGATATTTTATTCTAACTATGGCTTATGTTTTACAAACTTATTTTCACTTATATTTAACAGAAAGAGGTAGAATTGCGTGAACTTCAAGAACAAAATTCTATTGTCTTACAAGATATTGCAGAATTTACAGTTCATCACATGGAAGCAGAGACTTATATTAAGAAACTTTTGACAACTAAAAATATAGAATTACCTTCAATAACATTATTGAGCCAATCATCAATATCAAGTCAATCTAATAGTAATACAAATTTGACAGACTGTCAGGCAAAAAGTACAAATCGTGGAAGTGTTTATGGATCATCTGGTGGAAGTATTGGACACATTCTCAACCTAGAACCAGAATTTGAATGTAAATTCATAAAAATATACCTATATAGCATACATACATTGTTTAAACATTTCAGTTATATATGATTTGGTAATATAATATTTAAGTACAACATAACTAAAAAGAAACAATATTTTCATATTATTTCAGCTGTACCAGAGAGAGATACATCAAAAAGAAATGTAAAACGAAAGCAACCATCTATAAAAACTCTACATGCTCAATTAACGAAAAAAACACCTTAATATAATTTTTTAAATACTATACATTTATGGTTTTTTTATTCTATACACTTAATTGTAAAAAATAATATATAAAGTAAGATTTGCAATTA